AACAACAACAACAACAACAACAACAATAACAACAATAATAATCAATAATGTATTCCATTTCATTATGGTAAGTTTTCATGTGAAATTTCAAATTTATTTAATTTGATAAGTTTTTCATCCTGTTAAATCTATATAAATTTACAATGCTATTATTTTTCTTTTCTTTTCTTTTATTTTCTTTCATTAAAATTTTTTTAGACGATCCTTTATTTTTCTTTTTAGCTAGTGAAATAAATAAGTTTTGTTAATTTATTAAGTTATTGTTTACTATTTTTATTTCTACTTTTTATTGTTATTATTATGAATGAAATTACCTGAAAATAAATTGATTTAAATAATGATAATTATTCTATTATAGTAATTCAGTAAATAGATTTATGATATTTTTATAGTTGTCATTCTTTCACATGCTAAAATGTCAACATGATGTAAGGAATATTTCGCAAATGTCCTTCAAGAAATGCATGAAATTTAATATCATAGTTGTTGTCATCCTTGACAGACATTCTGCTTTAAATATTCATGTATGTTATTGTTAAACATTCATTTGATGACAAGATCTTTTTTGTTGAAGTTAAAAAAGAAAATCAATAAAATTTTAGCATTTAATGATAGAATTAGTTATTTCACAATAGTAATAAATTGTTTTGAGCGGGTTTTGTTTGACTGTGGCTTAATTCGAAATATACAATAATTTGCCCAGCTAATGAAATACTTAATTGATTGATTTTTTAATCGTGGAATTAATTATTTGATAACAAAATCGTTATAAATAAACCCAAACGTAGCACTTGTAATCAAATTATGAAAGATTTATTTTAAATTATTATAGTTAGACTAAAACATAAATCGTTGTTAATCAAAATAGTTCACGGCACTTAAGCTTTATTGAACTTTAACTTTATTAAAATTGAAAAAAAATCATTGGTTGAAGAAATAATTAAATAAAAATAGTTGAATAATGCGACAAAATGTAAAAATTTGCTCAACTCTTGAAATGTTAATTTCTTCAATGTATAGTTAAACATTGTCATGCAAAATATTTGTTCATTTTCTATTAATTAATTTTAGCCGAAGGCATTGCTAATTTTTGAGCCATTTGATTAGTTTGCTAAGTATACTCTATTGGCGCAATAATTTCGCCAAAATTCTACGATTATATTGCAGTACCTGTTGAACAATCATCATGACTTTTTTAGAGCAAGTCAATTTTAATAAGTACTTTGAAATTTCTTCTCCATCCAGTGATGAAATAATCAGCGCATAGTGCCAGTTATTGTATAAACAATCCAGTTTTTCTTGTTCTTTACTCCTTTATATGTCACAATTTTGATCAACCATGGTTTTTTGCCTTATGATAATGATGATAATGAGAAAGAACACTTTTAAATATCAATTTCTTTTCCCATTGATTATTGATCAATGTAAGAAAGAATTAATTATATATATATATATATCCATTTATCTTTCAATACATTTCAAATGTGGAAAGCTGTAGAGTTGATTGGGTTAAATTCCTCAAGACTTCATTTAGCAAAATGAGGATCAGTCTTGCTGATCGGTCTGAAACTGTCATCTTTTCTGATCACATCCCTTTCAATCTTCAATTTGTGACCCCTATCGTTGAAATAATTTCTTGAACTACAATTATACTTCAGTTTTTTAACCATCTTGATATTTCAAAATTCTTCATTAATTTGCAGGTTCATTTTAAATTCGATAAAAAAAATGCTTGAATTTATTTCTTTTCTTGTCATTATTTCATTAATTCAACCGAAATAAATCTTACAAAGAAAAAAATAATTAATAAGAAAAGTAAAAAAAGAAAGGATAAGGCAAGAAATGGGCATTAAAATAATACGGTCTAATTTATATATATAATTTGTTTTAATTAACAAACAAAAAGAATGAGAAAGGTGAATACAAAAATACAATTTAAGTTATGAATTTAAAAAATTCTCAATTTTTAATATTTATGAAACACGTCAAATTATTCATTACAAATTTCCTTTATTTGAATGATAGTTACATAATAATAAATCGTTATCATCTTTAACAATTCAAATTATAAGTTTAAAAACCTTTCAATTGGTAATAATTATTACTACATAATTGTAATTAATAACAATAGTTAGAAATGTGCCACCAATAAATTACATAATTTACAAGTAATAATAATCATACTTAACTAACGTATTTGAATAATGAAAAAAACTCTTTTTTCTGCAAATGTTACCGTTTCAGGATTTTCCTAATTGTTGCGGAGATTGCATACGGTATGGTCGTTAACAGTTTCAACGGGCTCGTAGTTGGTCCAGGTCAACTTAATGGAATCGGAGGTGACATCTATGCAGTTAATGCCTTCAATGGTCCTCGAGCTTCTCGTCCCACCATGTCTCGTAGTTCTTCGGGTTTACCGGTTCAGGCATCATCTTCCACGATCATAAATTCATTCCAAGGTAATATTGTTGGACCTAATTCATTGCAAAATAATGCTGGAATATCACTGGTACCGACAAGAATCGCCTCAACTAGTAATTATTCGCGGGTATTTTTATCTGTTATATTGATTTTTTCGTTCGTATTTTTTGTAATTTGATTGAACCGAACTTAATTAATTAATTAATTAGTTTAAAATATGTATAATTAGTTTAAAATAATTTGTTTAAAATATGTAGTGATAAAAATTTCATTTTGTGTACTCTCTTTTTTGTAATGCTGCTATAACTAATTACCACAAATTTTTTTGCATTTTTCAACTCTTTCAAATTTAAGGACTTCAAAGGGCTCAATTTAAGAAGAAGAAATCATCATTCTTTTTTAAATTTATTTCTCTTTAATTAAAAAATTTCTTTTCTGTTTTATCTTTCTAACGAAACAAATGTCTTACACTTTTTGGTTATTATTGTTATTTAACTTCTCTGGTTATTGTATACAAAAGAATATAAGATGCAAAATTTGAAAATTTTTTCAATATTATCACACAGATATCAAGAAAAAATCATTATTATTGCAGAGAAATGCGCGAAATTTTGTTTACATCTATTTACTTATTTTTATCCATATGGATATCTTTTTCCGCTTCTTCAAAATAAAACCAAGAAGATGAACGAATAAAAGATTTCGCAAATTGCATTTTTTATATAACTGATAAGTCAAATTTTGCTTCGTTTCGATCGCTTATTTTTTATTATCATTTAATCTCTCTTACCCATATGTTTCATCCCTTTCATTATTATTTACATTCAACAGTTCCTGCAGGAATGAATCCAAAAGTATAAAACCATATATTCTTGGAAAAATTCGTATTCTTGTTAACTTCTACTTTTGACTAAATTAATCAAAAAAAAGTAAAATTGATCAAATATGAAATGAATATATCTAATTCATTTTGTGGATTAAGAGGGATTGATAGTTTTTCCTTTGAATCAAAAAAGTTGAATCGCTTACAAAAATTTTCTGACTTAACATTCATAAACTTGCAGTAAACTAAATTAACATAAACTACAACACACGGTGTGTAAAATGATGATACTGATGGTGATACTATATCATTATCATCCTTAATAATTTGCTATCGAATATGTTAATTAGCCGTATACCAAAAGTACACATAATATTATCATCAACATCATTTCATATTATATTGTAATATTTGTGTACCATCTGAAAAACAAATTTTTTTTGACACTTTGAATTTCTGTTATCATATATTTATGTTATATTTGCGTTGTTTTTACTTTATAATA